GGAATTCTGGGAGTTGAAGTCCACCCATCTTAAAGTTGCTGAGGTTGAGGAACCCTGCATTTGATGGTTTTATGTAATCATGAGGCTTGCAGGAAAAAAAAAGAGTAAATATTCACAAGAAGCAGCTCTATTGGTAGATAACAGTAGATATTTAGGACAAGAATTAGAATTGTTTGGAATTAAGAACCTAGAATAACAATTCCTTACTAAAGTTTCATTTTAAAGCACCTGCATCAAGAATCCTATGAATGAAGAAACAGAAAAAGGAAATCAAGAAGGGACAAGCATTTGTTCTGTTTTCCTTATGTGTGCACTGTAAAAATTAAGGCAATTTAAGAAATTATGACATTCCTACATACATGAACTTTCAACTAAATCTTTCAAACTTCTCTCAGATTGGGTTTATATGATTATCGTCCTTTTGCAATCCTATACCCACTTTACTGGGAGTAAGTGCCAGTGAACCAGATGGGAGTTCTAGACAGGGACAAAATTGGCTGAATGGGTTGATTGCCATCTAATGCCCATTTACTGGGATTATGGACAGGATCTTGCTTCAGAGTAGAAACAAAGTAGGAGTCCTGCTGGATCAGACCGAAGACCAATGATACGCAAATTAGTATGATGTTCCCTTGGTGGCCAACCAGTTGATTCTGGAAAACCCACATACAGGATACAACCATAAAGCACCATCCTGCTTACATTCACTGGTTTAGTCTTAATGACTCGAAGTATTAACAGCCTTATCTTCCATACCTACAACTGTCTACAACTAGATTTCCTCTACATCTTTTCCTTAAGCAGTATAGTGGAGTATTTTCTGCTAGGCAGAAGCTCCTGCAGGTTTTGGGTGGGGTGGGGGGAAGGGGTAGCCAGCTGTAGAAGAAATAGGGAATGGCCTTGAAGAACAGGAGGAAGAGTGGCTACCAAGGCAATAGTCAGATAAGTGGGACCTAAGCCCATTCCAAGAAACTAATTTGACAAACCACCCTCCCTAGTTCCCATGAAGATAGAGGGAGGGAGGGGGGAAGCACATTCAGACTTGCAAGATTCTGTTACTAGAGCTATTACAATAAAAACAGCCCTGACCTATATGCCATTGGTTTCTTGGTCTAGTGTACCTTGTAGGGCTGTCAACAGAGGAGCCCTGTTTCTGAATTGTCCAAAAATATGATCATAAGCATTTAAATATCCTTTATGGTATAATATGCCTACAAGGCATTTAATCACAATTTTCTCTCTAGTGTTACAAACCTAAAAGCTATATTTTCATCCATCTGTAATTTGGTTTTAGTTTCCCTTAAAGACAGCACCATTCCTGGGCATCAAACATGATATTTAAAGAAACAGTAGTGGATAGTGGGTAGTGCAGCCATATAAAATCTACCTTTTTAACCTTCGCTTCCTTTAGTTTTTCTAAAGCCAGTTTAATCTTGACCGCTTTTGCTTCCACCTCTTGTTCTTCCTAGAAGGAGGTGGAAATAAGATTGTGAAGCTCTTATAAAACATGTTCTTCCATCACCATTTGATAAATATTTTCATTCTTTTTTCAAAAAAGCTCTTACAGTATTTTGGAAGTTCTTGTTCCTCTTAAGTAGTATGAACTTGCATATTATCCTGTTTAAAAATGGCCAAAAAACTAACCTTTCTCTCCCCACCCTCCTTCAAGTGTACATTTTCACTATTCTGCACCTTTTTGATAGTAGTTCTTAAATTTGTTGCTTCTTTTTCTTTTGTTTTTATGAATCACTGTAGTTTACCTTATAGCAGTGGTGTGGTGTGTTTTCCCCATTTTTTAAATTTCTTTGCTAAAACAAACACAAGGTGCTGAATGCAATTTTTGCCTCATTACAAACTCCAACCCCCTCCCTTCTCCCCCAGTGAATGGCACATTGTGGTTCACCTCACTACGTTGGCTTCTTCACATTATCAGCCACATTGGCAGCAGGCTAGGTTTTTAAAAATAAAACTGTGGGCAATTGCCACAAAAAAACCCTGCCCATCCCTTGTCTTATGATTATGATACATAGTTGTGAGATTCTTTCCTTAATTAGGTCTCTCTCTGAATCTGTTCTTCATCTTTTGCTCATCATCCTACCATTCTCTGCAACTTTAACTGCAGCATCTTGTACACTTGAAGAGGCGATCTTCTGTTCAGCTTAATTTGACAATTCAGAAAACAGCTTGCCTCTTCAGGATAAAAACTTCAGTGGAAACATCAGTGTATTCACCATACTCATCTATCCTCATCATAGTCTTCAGCAATATCTGAGAGTAAAAGCTTCCATCTTCTGCAGAATAACCACTGGCCTGTTCCACAGAGGACTTCCTCAACATGAAATATTTGTTAGATTTATATCCTGCCTTTCCTCTAGGAGCCTAAGTAAGCAAACATTACATTCCTTCCTCAACCTTTTTTGAGTAACAAAAGCTTCCGAGATTCTATTTAAATAAATATTCTTGCAGAACAAACCATTACAAAAGTTAGACATTCTTTGAATGCAACAGAAACTGACATTTTGATAAGCCAGTTTATCTCGTGCATTGGTGTGTGGCTATCTTGAGAATATGAAGACAAGAACTTCTTCAGAGATTCTCCTGTTTGCTAACCTGAGTGAGTGGTTCGAGAGGGATGGCTGGAGCTGGTGGTGGTGGCAGCAATGGCGTTTCTGCAGAGGGAACTGGTAACTCATTCTTAGCAAGTGGGGTAGTATTATTTAGTATTGATTGATTTCCACAAATAGGGGTAGGCTTTGCTGGTGGCTGAGTCATGGCAGCTTGCTCATAGTAAGAGCTATCCTTCGGTTCTTGGAATGTGGTCTTTTCTACTTCACTGATGTCTGCTATAAGATCGGCCATTAAAGTATCTAAATCAGTATCTTCCAATGCATTCAAGGATTCTGTTAAGGAAAAAGGTAAACACATCAGAGATCTTCTCCAATGTTATTAAGGAACAGTAGTTCCACGTACATTGTTAGATGGTCTTCCACAGATAGTAATAGGCAACACTTATAGATTCAAATAATTCTTGGGATTCTTCTAAAGCAATGACAGCATCCTTTCATAAGATGATTTATCACATTCGAAAATATTATGCTAGAGAAACCTGCTTATGCCTTTTCTCATAAGAAGGCTTCGCAACCTGTTGCCTTTCTGATGGGTTGACTACAACTTTATCATTCCCAACATGAATTATTATAATTAATGGAAACAGATGTGACTAACAGCTGGGATATATATTTCAAAATGAAGGATTTATTAATATTTGTTATCTGGTAAGCTATGAGCTAGGTTTTGTGCAATTTAACATTACATTATACTTAATAATTTGATAGTGAGATGGTTCAAAAATAGGACACATTGTTTTTTCTCTTCCCTCCCTTTGCATGTTACCTGATTAAAGGTCTTGGAAAGCTTGCAAATACATTGAAAAACTTCTATTATTCTTCACCTCAATTTTAGATCAATAGGAGGTTTGGGGAAACATTCTAAAACTTTAGTTTTTATAATGTCAACCTTATAAATTCATCTTTTTAAGACTAGGCAGAATTAATTACACACACACATTAACAAATAATTTTGGAAGAGAACAAAACCAGTTTAATTTTCTTCTTCTCATACTTTTAATCCACATATGAAAATATGTCCAATGGAATTTTTTTTTTTAGTACTTACCATTTAAATCTTTGAAACCAACTGCAAAATTAAACTCAGCATCAGGTAACTTTTGGGGTGGGGTAGGCATGGCTTCCACTTCTAAACTCTGATAAAAAAAAAGAAAAGAACAGTTTTAAAGTTTTAAAGCCTTTAAAATTTTCTATGATGGGAAGCACATTTATATTTCTATTGGCTCTTTTTTTCTATAGGAAATGTTTTGTTTTTGAATTATGAATCCTACAATCCTTTTCTCCAGAATGTTTTCCTCAACTGTAATATCACATGCATACATATGCATACACCCAAATGCATATTACAGGAAAAATAGCTTTTGAATGATTACTTATTGTATCTGTAGGATGAACAACATAACACATTTGAAAAGATAAAGAAAAATTAGCACATGAAACTTGGCCAATCATAGCTCCAAAGAATGTCTTTCTTCTTCGCAACAGTGTTTATTGCAGAAACATTACCCAGAGAAATGGGAGCTCATAAGAACTTAAGAAAAACCATGGTGATTATGTCAAAGGATTGTCCAGTCCAGCATTCTGTTCTCACAGCGGACAACCAGATGCTCATGAGAAACCCACAAGCCATATATAAAAGTGACACATCTCTTTTTCAGGAACTAGTATTGGTATTCTCCAGATGTACTGATACTATAATTTCCAGAATGTAAAATTCTTAGTGATCCTGGCTAAAGTCGCAACAAATCTGGGACTTTATTAAATGTACTCTCTTATTAGTGCACAAAATTATTTAACACTAAAATACTGACTTAATAAACCATTAAAATATTAAAAGACATGTTACACTGTTAATTTATTTAATTTCATTACAGTTATAAGCCAGTGCCAATATTTAAATTCTGGCAATCAATATAATATATTGCTTCCAATAATTTTTACCTCACAAAATGTTGAGCTCTTTCTTATAACAGTGCTGTATTTGCCAGATACACATAAAAAACAGATGGACCTTCAGCCACACCATCCCAGCCATCATCTTGACTTGTTTGACCACATCCTGAAGACACCCCAGGTGACCAGGGTCCATGGTTAAACTTGATTGACTGATTACATGTATGTGCCATCAAGTTTTCAACTCCTAGCAACCACCTTGATTTTCTCCATGACAATCCACCCCTAACCTGTTCTTTCAGGTCTTCCAATGGTGCACGCATCGCCATGATAAATGAGTCTATTCACCTTGCTGCTGGTTGTCCACTTCTTCTCTTTCCTTCCACCTTTCCCAGCATTAGAGCCTTCTCCAGAGAGCTAGGTCTTTGCATAATGTGTCCAAAGTAGGATAATTTCTTAATTCAGGTACACCTCTCCTACAACTATCCCAGGTGCTAATCATCATGATAATGAATTTCATAGTTTAACCATGTGCTACATGAAAAAGTACTTCCTTTTAGCTGGATCTGTACAACATGCCAGCTTGTTGGAACTGAGTTAGGTTAAATATGTACTAAGAATCTGAAAAATGGGTTCAATTGAGTAAGCTGCAGTTAGGTTAACCACAAATAAACATACGATGTGAACTCACCGAGTGTCTAACTTGAATTTCTCACTATTTACCTTACAAAAGGTCAGTAGTGGAAGTAGCACCATGCTGTAACTACTACTTCTTTAGGGGAAGAAGTAGTACTTGGGGAAAAAATGAAGCAAAATAGCTATGTCTGCATAGCACTTCTTTCAAAAGCATTGCACAACCCTGGTAAAATCTCTAGGATTCAGGGAGAACCTGAAACCTGGAGAGGGAATGCCAACCTAACAGCGCCTCTCCCACCACTGATGTGAAATTACATTTCACAATAGTGCTTAGTGTTCGTATTGTTCTTCATGTGCTTCAAGGGCCAATCACATTTTCACAGATCTACTTCTGTTCTGAGCATTTAAAAATCAACTATTAGAATCAAAGCATGCCAGCGGGAGTCTCCCACTCACAGTAAATCAATCAATCCCAGCTTTGACAAGAGAAGATTTCATTACCAGAAGCGCAGACCAAGAAGAATGGGCTAACCAGCTCTTCCACAATTTAAGGTAGGGAGGACAACGGAAGGAGAGGTGGAAGGTGTGGACAGCAGTGGAGAATGAGGGAGCAGGAGTCGAAAACAATTTGATGGCAGATACGTGAATATCTTTCTGCTCTACAGTAACGTAAGTTCTAGCAACTACAGCTGAGATTTATTTTTGTTTATTGGATTTATATGCCACCAAATCTTACAGATGATAACCCATCCATGCGCAGTACTGACACTGACCACCCACTCTCATGGTAAGTTACAAACATCCCAAGACAAATGAAATGGAATTGCAAAGTGCACATGATATATATAGTGGTCTTAAAGTCAAATTAGATAACATGGCAGATCCTGTCATCAGCTCACTTGATTTCCTACATTTTTCCCCTTATACAACATTATACAACAGCCTGCATTAAATCAAGGGTGCGTCATGAGGATAGGATCAGAGAAATAGATATGTAGAGTGTTAAATGCAGAGTTGTGGATTACTGCAATTGTATCTCTCCCCTTCTCAGCAGCCTCCTCCATTTATCCCTTAGCCAAATCTTATTCAAGAAGTTTTAAGAATTTGGAACAATTTAGCTGGATTTTACTAAAGATACTGTTTGAGCATACACAGAATCAAAATTAACTTAATCCCTGAAGAAAAAAGACCACCTCCAAAGAATTTACTGTTTATTTTTCAAGCTACGTATTTTAATGTTATAAAACTGTGCTTAAGTGAATTTAAACTGGTCAATTGACCATCAGTTGAAAGCTGATACTCAACCAGTTTATGAAAACAGCACAAAAGTAGTTCTTTGCTGCTCTTCAAAAAAACAGAATCTAGATCCCCTTTCCCCGACAGGGTGCCCTCCAGATTATGCTGGGATTTTTAAACTCCCAGATAGCATGGCCAAGGCAAGGGGACTGTAATCCCAATTTATCTGAAGAGTGAGATGGAGATGGTTGAGCTGTGTTTATTATTTTTGTTATTTTCATCTGTATCCCAGAATAGGTAAATGCAGACTCAAAGTTAAGAGTACTGTAATTATGCCTGAGATAGACAATACATTAAGTCAACTAGGGATGCTCCTAATGTCATAAACAGTGTCCCTTCACAAGCATCCTGCTATATCTCAGGACCTGCTACAAATGACACACACTGCAAGTATCCAGGAACCCCAAAAGACATGAAGGGGCCTTCAAGGCTTCCACTGTTACCCATGAACAGAAGAATACCCAGGCTGTGTAACAGGATATCCCAGGACATAGACAACAGACACAAATTCCTAAGTATATTCTGGATTGTACCCACATATCTTAATTCTCATTTGCAACTAGGTGTAAAACAAGAAATGAGAAGTAAAAACATTCCAAAGTACGGGGAAAGCTTTATTGAAAATGTGAAGATGTACAGTTCCTCCACTCTGTGACAGAAAACAGCAGACACATTGGGGGAAATAGAGAAGGAAGCTTTAAAACATAGAATATAGAAATAAAGAAATAGAACAAAAGAGGAACTGAGGCAAAAGCCTATTCTGGCAGCAGCCTTGTGGTTGACTCATTTTTTGTATTTTTGAGGGAGCAATCCCAATAACAAGGGTTTGATGGCATTTTTATGAGTGGTTGATCACTACTTTAGATTTGTTGAAAAGGTGATCTGAAATTTCACAAAGGAAGAATAAACAGAGGGAAAAAAACAAGCAGAACAAAATTCTGTCTAATGCCCAGTTTTCCATCTTGCCAGTTTAAGACTGCCAATCCCAGCTAACAGATTTTCCCCTCCCCAATAAATGTGTGCACGTTTCATGCATGGGTGATGTGCCTATACTTACCAGAAGTCACACTGCAAAAAAAGGAAGGAGCCAGCACACCCAGCACACATTCACATGAGTAACGTTATTTGGTTGTAAAATAAAGCGTCCCATTTATAACAGCAATTGATCCTCCAGTAATTCCCCAACCATAGTCTCTGACACAGGCAAGCCATTTGCTCACACAAAAACACATACTTTTGCTACTCTCCATCAAACAGAAGCAGCAAAAAAGAAGGCAAAAACATAATGAAGAGGAATAAGAGGAAACCAGAACTGCCTGGAGAAGGGAAGGAAAAAGGAGGAACAAAACTAGATAGAAATAAACTGAGGGAAATCTCATGGGGTACAAGGGCAAATGTGGGAGAAATATGGTCACCAGCAGCACAAATGGCTGAAGGGGAGATATAGAAGGGCCTTCCAGAGGCCCCAGGTTTTGTCTTCTACTTATAATTTCCACCATGTTTTCCAAAAGTGTCTTTCTTTTGGACCATTTTAATATTATGGTCTGTAAAGAAGTTGTTATGGCCTTGCTGGACTCATCTTCTGATGTGGAGGAGGAGGAAGTAGAGCCAGGGGCTTCTAGGGATGATAGTCCTGGAGGGAGTGGTTCCAGCAGTGTTGAAGCCAATAACTCCACTCTGGCTGAGAACAAGTTTTTCTGCGCTGGTCCTGCTGGTTGCTAGCCAGTAAGATGGCCAGCTGGAATCACCCCCTCCAGGACTATTATCCCTAGAAGCCTCTGGCTCTTCCTTCTCCTCCTCCTCCTCCTCCTCCGAAGACGAGTCCAGCAGGGCCATAACATTAAGAAGAGGTGCAGAAAATCCCCATGAAGTGGCTGGTCAGCACCAGGAGCCGTCCATCTAAATGTATCCAGGATAGCTGCAATTTGCCATGTCCTGGGAATTAAAATAGCTTGGGAGGAAAATGTAAAGTCAATAAATGAGTGTGCAAACTATACTATACAAACCCCAATTTCAGCATAAAGTACCGGGGTGGGTAGGAGGGTTATGGGGCTTTTTTTTTCTTTTGCTTTCAAAGATGCAGTTGAGTGCGCAAACAAGAGAAACTTTGTTTTGATTCCATGACTAGCATTGTTGTATTGCATTGATTTACTCTATCAGTTTAAAAGTCTCACACAAGGAAAAAGTTCTAGCATAAAGGAACAAATGTTTGCAGTTTAATAACTATAAAGGAATAGAAAACTGAAGAGGAGGCAGAAAATTGGATTTATTCTTCCATTTCCCACAGGCATACTTACCTGTGTTAGCAAATCCATTTCCCCCAATAAGTCACTGAACATCTGATCTATATCTTCACATGCTTCCTCCATCTGAAACACAAAGATAAGAAATGGATGTCAATATCATACTTCACCATCTACAAAGAATTTTGCAAACTTTTCTATAGTGGAAAAAGTAGATGTTTTTAGCAAAAATTGAGGGTATCTTTGCTCCAGATGGTACTGAAATTAGTAAAAATAATTAATAAATAATCCTAATTTCGGTCAAACTTGATTCCTGTTGACTTCATGGACACAACATGTAACTTTCTTAGCAATAACAGAGAAATGGCTTACCGTCGTCTTCTTCCACTGGAATAAACTTTCATTTTTGTTTGGGGTAAAAAGCTCTCAAGATTATGATCAAGTAGCACTACTCCAATATGAGTCACTGATCACATCATGTCCTTTTTCTCCTCCAAAACAATATTATCCATTTTCAGTAAAACAGAGTCCTCCTAGAATTTCAGAACTTTGCCCATGAGCACACATTGTCCTGTTAATTCTCCAGAGGCATTGGAGTGAAAAACATCTGCTATGTGAAAAAACAGTGCAAAGTCCTCCATATCTCTTGGCTGCCACGTCATAGTCATCCACATTTTCCTAGCCCAGATATCTGAGAGAGAAAGGCTTTGAGGCACTGAAGGAGGGTGGAGGGTTTCCATGGGGAGGGGACATGGGTGCTGTGTGCATACATGGCTTTATATTGAATGGAAATATGAGAGGAGGAGACTCAAGGGATACCTTGAGTGATTGAGGAGGTGAGGGAAGACCTTCCCAGGACCCAGGCCTGCTGGTGAGGAGGGGAAGAACCAAGCATGTCACCCTCCTCTTCTTCTTCAACTGCCTGCCCTCAATTGCTGTAGCCTGGGGGTGGGGGTCCCATCAGAGGTTTTATTCCTTGAGGCCCACAGCACTCTAATTATGCCCCTAACAGAAGTCCCAGGAAGAAAACACAAAGCAGCTGTTCTATGAAGTGTCTTTGTTTATCTTCTGATGCATTTCAGTAATTCCTTCATGAAGAAAACCTCCATATAATGTAAAATGCCAAGCAAAGGTCTTGTTTCATTTTCATTCAAGGAAATAAGAAATAGTGCAATAAAGAAAGGAATGGGAGGACTTCAACTACAAAGAGATTCTATTTTCAATCTGGGGCTAACTGTATAATTTCCTAGCAAAATATGCAAATCAAGAAATGCAATTTGCCGGGGGTTTACTTTGAGGAATATTTGTTTTTAAACGAATCTACCTTACTAGAAATATGCAGTGTGATCTTCTAACAGGCAAGAAGCACATAGCAAAGGCTTCAGAACAGCACCCAAGGCACCTAAGAAAGCATGGTTCAACCAGATGATGATGATCGATGATGATGGTGAAAGGTTGCACCACTCATAACCTGTCTAATTGCTACATATGGAATCAGTATAAGAAAAGAAAGAAATTGAAGAGTAACCACATAGTTAAACTGATTTTCTTTCTCTCGGTGGAAGAGAAAATGTAGCCTTCTCTCCACCCTCATCCCTGGTCATAATAACTTGTGTCATAAAATTAGTTCTGACAGCATAATTACTGATCAGGTTCAAGATCCAAGATTTACAACATTGATTTAGTTCATATTAGATCTGTTACTTAATTGAAGACTTTTTATTGTTCAGTTACTTATATACATATAAGACTATGCACCAATAATGTTCAATGTGCATTTCTTTGTTTAAATGATACACCCATACACCAGAACTTCACCTCTTGTGTGAATGAAAAAGAAAGATGCCTCTTCTTAAAAGATGTCTATTGTTCATGGATTTGTAAGTGCTTATATTAAAAAGAATACATCTATTGCCTATTTCGGGGCACATTTAATTCTTAAAATTTGCTTATCGGTTCACTGGATGTGTTAATCAACTAAATTTCGCAACCACAATTTCTATCCTTCCCTTTCAGGCCACAAAAACAAGGAGCAAGTGCAAAAGGAAGTTAGCTTGGGTAGTGGACTCCTTGGGGAAAGTGATTTTATTAGATAAAGTGTTTTGCCCTTTTCAAATATTCATAATTTCTGTTTTATGTTTGTTTCAATCTATTTTTAATTGTGTACATCACCCAGAATCATCATGGAGTTGAGTAGCTTTACAAAGTTGATAAATAAATAGCTCTCCTAGTTCAAAAATTAAAATTACAGTGTTCGGTTTGCTGAATACTGATCAGAACAAAATATCCTTCCCAAACCTGGTGTCCAACAAATGTGCTGGCCTGCAATTCCCAGAAGTCAACCCAACATGCTAGTTAGGAATTCTGGAAGTTGTAATCATCAGACTTTGAAAGTCCCAGCTGAGAAAGGCTATCTCAGAAGAAGACATTGTGAAGTTGATGTGATATCAAATACACAGTTCACATATTGTGAGAAGCCATATGTTAGTTTGTGCAATTAATGACAATTAGCTGGTTTTATACAATATACCACCAAAACAAACCACATTACGGTTAACTGTGTTACTGAATCAGGCCTAAGAATCCATGAGATCTGAATGCATTACTGCCACAATGATCCATGCTATTTTTCTAAAGTATCAGGAATCTGGCTGAAGCAATCAACACTTTATCATTTCCTAGGTCACAAAGCACACTATCAGCAATAAGTAGAGATAATAAGCTAGAAGAGTGTTTAATTTTTTTTCTCTGAACCACTTCCCACTTTTAAAAATTATGAAAGATCCCAACATTTGTTTGTATCTTTATCAATATTTACTGTATTAAAAATTAAAATTGATGCATTCGTTTTCACTACCACTTCTCACAATTGTTTGATGGGATTTTAATATTATATTATTTTTCAACATAGGGTGACAATTTTGATTTCATGGACCCTTGAGAGAATCTTGGGGGATCCCCAGGGGTCCTCAGACTACACTTTGAGAACCACTGAGCTAGAAGGTCTTTAGACATGCCTTTATAATCTGAGGAGAGTCAAAGATCATAACGGAAAAAGTCTACTCCACAGGGGCATTAATTATCTTATGTACAGTCCCATTTTTTCAGGTAATTCAGATATAATTTGCTTTATTAAGAATTTATATTTCACAGTTCACAACAAAAGCTTTCTCAAGACAACAAACAGGATGTTCTGTGATTTCTGGGACAATTCCTTTGATCTGCCTCTGCAAAGAGCAGCACTACTAACAAAATAATACAGTTTTCACAGCTTAATGGAAAGCCAAGAAGTCAGGGGATAAATGAAACTTGGGAGGTAAGCTACTCCCAGTGTAAGAGCCACATCAAGGTCTGTCTCCAGGTATCCTGTGCCAGCAGTTACAATTGCAGGAGGTCAGATGTAGATCAGAGGTCTTTGTGTTAGCTATAAATCTCACTCCCGTGCAGGAATGGGAAAACTCAGGAAGAGCAAAGAAGCTTATTTCAGAAGCCAAGATTTCACAGAGACAAATCCAAAATCTAATCGTCAGATTTGAATGTAGTCTCATACCAGTCCAAAGATCAACCAGGGAATCAGAGGCAGCGCATATTCAGGAAGTCAGGCCTAAGGTTGGAAAACTGTTCGCTAACAGAATTCTGACACCCAAACCCTTCTTTATAATACTGAGTCAGGCATGCCTTTTCTCCTGATTCTCTGTTCTCCTCACTTGATCTTTCTCCATGAGTGAGGGCTGAGGATTTTTTTCCTGCTCAGGCTCTGGATCATCTGACAGAGCCTGATGTTGTGCTTCTCTAACAGGTGCTGATTCTGACTTCTCCAGACCTGCAAGCTCCTCCTTCAACTGCTGGCTCTTGAGTTGCACGGTCAGAACCTGTCAAGCTCTGCTCCTCCAGTTCAGAGTCTGTGTGATGGAATGGTTTGGGGAAGGCCGCGCTCGGGGAGATAAGCATTTCTTTAGCCCCCAGAATGAGCATGGGAAGGTGAAGAGGATGAGACTGGCACCACCCTAAGGAATTCACAGTGTTTGCTTGCTGGCTTGGGAAATTTAGATTCAGTCTGGTGAGATTCTGCCTTGTGGGTGGAAACTAATAAATGCAATAGAACTGTATCTGTACTGCCTCGTGGAGTTCTTTGGGCTGAACCTGACAGTCTGGCACATGAAACAGACCTGGGTTCTATCTTCATAATCTCTCTTGGGATGAGAAACCGGAGCATCTTCTCTCAAAATGTTTTCACAGAATGGGCAGAAGCATCAGTGGATACCATCCTGCCTGTAGACGGGAAGCCACCCATGGAGAGCCTTCTAAGTTAGCAGCAGCACACCTGGAACCTGGCAACCAATGTAGGGACTGAAGCAATGAGTTATGCTGCTGAATGGCTTATCACTGCCAACAGCTCGGCCACCAGGGTTTGGACCAACTGAGCTTTCTGGGTTGTCTTCAGAGACAGGCCTGTGTATTACTGGAGGCAAAATGCACAACACTGAAAACCTCTCTACATTTGCGCTCCTTCCCTCCTTTCCATTGGAGGATTTGCATGACTATTTTTATTGCAGAATCAAGTGGCTTAATCATAATTTACTTCCTGACATATTTTTCCATAATAAGTGTGACTGCTTGAATAATGAGAGTGCATAATAATGAGAGTGCCTTTGTAAAAAAAAAAAAAAAAAAAAGCTGGGGACATTAATTGGGTTTTTTGAAGCCTGCAGGCTT